GTTAAGCCTGCTTTTGATGATTTCGTTCTGCCATCAAAGAAGTATGCCGATGTGATCATACCACGTGGGGGTGATAACCATGTTGCAATTGATTTGATTGTGCAACACATCCATACAAAGTTAGGCCAGCATGACCTATGCAAAATATATCCCACAGTTACTGTCATTCAGTCAACATTTCAGGTATAGCATTTTCAATTGGCAATTCTCTGTAATTGATAAGTTTTGTTCCCCTCCCTCCCCTAAAGGACCAGGCAAACAGCGATAAAATATTTACCTTCAGCTGTTTGTCCAGATTGTTACACTTCATTACTTACCAGAAACAACCTGCACCTCACCAGCCTTGGGCTGGAAAAGACCGTGAAGACAGATAGAGTTGTGCAGTAGTAAACTCGATTATGTGAAAAAAAATCTGAAAAATTTGGTAATAAAGATGTGACTCATTTGTTGCTTGAGATATGAGCCTGTTGACTTTGTCTAGCCACTGGTTGAGAGGTTAGCAGAAATCTGGAAATAGTTTTAGTTGTTTGTTTCAGACGAGGCTAAAGCATATACAACTGTTCCCCTACTYATTTGAGCTGTTACTGCTCTCCATAATCTCACGTACATAACTGAATGTCACAGATACGAGGTATGCATACATTAATTCGAGACCGGGAAATTTCCAAGCATGATTTTGTGTTCTATTCGGATCGACTTATTCGTCTGGTACTTTCTGCTACAAAGTTCAAATGCAAGTTTTATTGAGCCAGGAAAGTTGATGAATCTCAACATCCTTATAGATTTCGTTTCTTTTGATTTTCAGGTTGTGGAGCACGGTCTTGGCCATTTACCATTTACTGAAAAACAAGTGGTCACTCCAACGGGTGAGTTGAGGAAGTAACGAGGCTTGTACTTACTGAAATCTGTCTGTGCAATTAACTATTTTCTCTTGCCGTGAGTTTTTGTCTGTAGTCTAAATTAATCCTTCTTTCCTGGTGTGTGGATACTGATGGAGAATGTCTGCATGCTTTTGATCTCAGCATCTGTATATACTGGGGTTGATTTCTGCAAAAAACTATGTGGGGTATCCATTGTTCGAAGGTAAGTTTGACACAACAATGAACCTTGCTCTGTGCATAATGGCGACTCTAATGTCTGAGATGAACGTGATAAATTTTGGACTGAATTTGAGAAAAAATTAGATATTCCTTGAAAGTTGATGAGAAAATTATTCTGATTGCTGACAATTTTCTCAAATCTAATGTAGTGGGGAAAGCATGGAAAATGCGTTGCGAGCATGTTGCAAAGGGATAAAAATTGGGAAGATTCTGATTCACCGTGAGGGAGATAACGGACAGCAGGTGAAACTAAAATATTTCTCTTGAATTATAGTTTGTTGGAGCTTGATCTTGTGTTTTCTTCTGTCATTTTGGGGATAAGTCAACATCATAAAGTTATTTTTTGTTTGTTCAAACTAAACAGCTGATATACGAGAAACTACCCAATGATATATCGGAGCGACATGTCCTACTCCTAGATCCCGTTCTCGCTACTGGTAACATTTTTATTATAATTAGTTTGAATTCGTTTTTATCCATGATTAGTCTGTCATACAGCAATAAGTTAACCTTTGGTGAAATTTAGTGTAGACAATTGCTGCATAACTTGGATGCATGAGTATATTGATTCTCAAGATTTGTTAGCTTAGTTAGGTGGAATGGCCATCTAAGAAGCACCAACACGAATACGATACGAAGCCAGTGACACACCAATTTCTAAAAGTGTAGGATACGGATACGTCGGGGACACATTATTTAAAAAAAAAATAGATAGTATATGATATATTGAGGTAGTGATATTTCTAAATAAATTAATCATACAAATTGAACATAACAAAACAACAAAATGTGCTTCGTCAATACARTACATGATGACAATAGTACAAAATTCGTTATCCAACAAACGTTACAATACAAATTAAAAAAGATTAAAGAAAGACTATGAAATTTGTCCCTCTGATGATATATTTCTCCTTCGTTAGGGTTTTTTCCCCCAAATTATAACTTCTTTTTATTTTGAGAGGATTTTTAAGTGCTTAATGGGCTGCTGATTAGTTGTGCTTTCGTTTTTCATTTGGTTTCTTTGATAACTCTGATCTGATATTCCCAAATTCTTTAAAAATTCTTGATTTTTTTMCTTTTCATATTCTATCATCCTCTTATTCTCTGGTAAATTTCTTCATAAGTTTTAAGCTCTGTATTTCCTATTATAAGGTATATTATATTTGTGATATTTGTAGGTAACTCAGCTAATCAAGCAATTGATCTACTCATACAGAAGGGAGTTCCAGAATCACACATCATATTCCTCAATCTAATCTCTGTGAGTTATATTCTGCTATTATCCAAATTGGTTTAAACTTAGTAAATACCAATACTGATGCCAATTTTCGCTCACCCGGAATCCAGGCCCCCGAGGGAATCCACTGTGTTTGCAAACGATTCCCGTCCTTGAAAATTGTCACCTCTGAGATCGATGATGGATTGAACGATGAGTATCGTGTCATACCCGGATTGGGCGAATTCGGTGATCGTTACTTCGGGACTGATGATTAGGTTGAAAAGCAGAGAATATAGCTCCCTAAATTATATGAAGCCATGTCTCAACCAATATGAAAAAGGATCAGCTGCAGAGTTTCATAAAGATTCAGCAGCAGTTTTACCATGGATGAACGTTGCAACATTAAACTCAATTGTGTGGTATAATATAATTATCACGTTGTTGATGACGACCTGAAATATTTCATCGTAAATCTTACGAGWCGAGAAATGATTATTTAAATGAAAAATTCAGGTAACATAATGTTCACTACATTTACTAGTGAATGATGTTGTTCAGCATGATATTAACAGTGTTCGGAGCAATAGTTGAGGCATGCTATGAAATAGATCTATTTTTTCACCCAATACTAACTTCTTTCTAGCAATCTAGTCATTTTTTTCTTTTTTTTTTTACTAATAACACTCTTCATAGATATTTAAAAGTATACAATCAAAGTTATTTTTCATTAATAATCCTTTTTTATTACAGCTCGATCTAGGAGTTTGTTAGTTTGGAGGTTTTTTTTTTAGTTCGGGTGGAGATTTAAACTTTCACCCTTGGTTGAGAATATATGTTATTTAGATTGATATAAGTTCGGAGAATTATTCAATGARTTTGACACAATGTTTAATTTATTTGTATGTATGTGATATGTTATTTGAATAAAACTAACAATAGGTTAATTAAATTGATTCAATTGAAATTTGGAGAAACTGGGAGAAGGGTTTTTTTTTTTTCTATATAACAAAGTAAAATAACTTAAAAATGATGTTAAAATACAGAGGGTAAGTGTATGTTTTAGTCCCTAATCTTTGTTTTCTAAATTCAGTTGTTACTCTTTAAAAAAGTTTCAATTTAATTTTTTATGTTTTAACATTTTTTAATAGGTATGAAAATTGGTTAATCATAAACTTATAAAGGAGGGAAAAAATCTKAGTATAACCTTTTTCCTATCTAATTTTCTATTAATTCACTGTTATTAAGCCAAGCGCCAAGCCAATTTTAACATCTATTGAAAATATTAAAACATAAGTTGTTAAATTAAAACTTTTTAACTTTTTAAATAATAGAGACTAAATTATAAAATAATCTCAAATATTAAGGATTGAAATATCTATTTAGTCTAGATATAAATAGATGAAATAATGAAGTTGTTATTTAACTATGAAACTACTTTATCAATTTGTGAAAAGTTCTCATTATATTTACGGAATCTTTAAAACAAAGATTTTTGTAGAAATAGAATTACAATTGAGATCAAGAAATATGAATTCAAGAAGAAAACAATTAAACCAAACGAAAAATATACACAAAGTTAATTTTTAAAACGTATGTATATACGTAAAGTTAAATTTGTGAAAAAAATTCACAAACATGCCTCGATTGACCATCAATAAATGGAAAGTGACTGCTGAACTTGAGCATAGCTATGGATATTCTGACCTTTTTTTTTGTCGATTTATTGCAAATAGATTAAATATGACTTAGTTTCGATTTAAATACTATTTTGACACTTATATTTTTTTTTCTTTTAATTTTAATCGATGTACTTTCGAAACGTATATTTTGATTCTTATACTTTCAAAATTTGTTTAATCTTTATACTTTCAAGAAATCTATTTTGGTTAGTGTACTTTAAATAATAATAATAATTTAGTTCACATTTGCAAATTTTAACCAAAATTTTATATACAAGAGAAACATTTTAATATAAATTTATTGCTACATTTCAAAAAATTTAGCGAGTGAAATATTGTGATAAAATCATGATCCAAGTGAAAATAAAAGGACAAAATTGATTCATTTTTAAAAGTACATGAATTAATGGGATGTTTTGACTATGAATGGAAAGTTGAAAATGACCGGTCCAAAATATTTAAAGGGAATTTAAGAAATAGCACAAAAAAAAATGTAATTTATATATATTTTAAAATTTTATAAAAATAGCTTATACAATTACACGAAACCAACCAAAAGTCAATTTTGTGATATTTTTTAAAAATAAAAAGTAATGATATTTTTATAAATACATATTAATTTTTTTTGTCTAGAATATTACATCAGAACACATCAGAAATAAATCGACATTTCCATACATTGCAAAAAATCGATAAAATATTAAAAGTATCAACAAAATATCACTAATATAGATATAAAAATAATATTAATTATTTTTAACTTATTTAGAAATGATGAAATAATTATTAATCAATTTAAATATTTTTCACAAATTTTTTATTTTTATCGATATTTCTATATCCATTTCTATAAAATTGAGTCCTAATTAATATTGAAAATCTTGTTATGCCTAATAATTTTTCCTTTTTGATTTTTTTTTTATTTTTACTTCTTCTATTTTTCCTTTTTGATCATATTTAACGAGATATTTATATGACAGAGTAACTAGTTATCCACTCTATATTCCCGCCATTAGAGCTCCGCCATAGCTATCACCACCGCTCCGGCGACTCAGTGGCCGCCGGAGAGAACGATGCTTCAGTGCTATTTCACACCTCGCCCTCCTTCTCGGTTTATCACTTGTCAGCTATCTACCAGCTCAGTGCGCTCTCATCCCTCTCCTCCACCGGCACCACCATTATCAGATTCATCACCACCTCTGCTGTCTTTCGCTGCAAAATCCATTCCGGACTCAGTAGCCTCACCGGCGTGCGCGCTCCAGTGCTCTCACTTTCAATCGTATGCTCCGCTTCCATCGCAGTTCTTTTCTCTCAACCCAATCGACCGAGTAATTTCCTTTTTGTTTCTGAATGTTTTAGGTGCTCCGGATGTACGCACGAGTTCAACCTCCACCGCCCGGTCATCGTTGACGAGGCGACTCAATTCTTCAACAGTCTTGGAGTCTCAGATTTTACGTTTGATAGTTGCAAACTGGTTGACTTGCTCATAGTTTTGGTAGAATTCATCAAGTGTTGTTGAATAATCGTCGGATTTTGATTTTTAGTGCGTTGCTTTGTTTTCAGTGGGGATGGAGGTGCCGTGCGAAATTGGCCGTTCGTGGCTCGTCAACAAGCCCTATGATTGGACTCTATCAGGAGGGAACTCATAATGTTGTCGATATTCCTGACTGCAAAGGTTCCATTTCTACTTATCTTGCTTTTATGTTTTGTTCTTGTTCTTTATCAATTGTGATTATTCATGTTCGAATGTTTCTGGATTTTTCAGCTCATCACCCCAACATAAATGCGGCTGTTCAGTTGTTAAAACGAGGTGTGTTCGTTATGAAATTAGAATGATATCCGTACACAGTTCTTACATTTGTAGTTAGGGGCTTTCATATGGGGGCCGAATTATTTGAATATTTTTTGCGGTGTTATGTGTAGGTATCACTGAATTAAACATAGAGCCTTATGATGAAGATCAGGGGAGTGGTGATCTGCGATATGTTCAGGTTACTAGTACAATGATCCTCAAATTAATATAGAGCAGTCAAATTGTTTTGTTTAATGGTGATGCTAATGGAAAATTCAAAAATGATTTTTGTGCAGATGGCTGTAACGACCTATAGCACGTCGCTTCCTTCCTCAGAAAGATACAGAAATGGTTACAAGCTAACTACTTGATTGGTGTTAAGTTATTCCATTGCCTAAGGTCTTAGAGAAACTGCAATTGATTTAATTATATATGTTTTCAGGTAAGATACAGATAGCATTAGTTTGGAATTCGAGGAATGAAACTTCACAGAATTCTGATAAGCTAAATGCTTTAGCTAATGTGAGTTTTGAAAACCCTATCCCCCCAACCCCCCCAAAAAAATATCATACTCGGTAAGATTTCTATTTACATTTTACTTTAATGTACTGAATGACAGTTTTTATGGAAAAATGGTGGCGCACGAAGTAACCCTCATCTAGTTCATTCTGTGTGGGCAAATTTTCAAACATCAACTAACAATGTAAGTTTCTTAATTGTAAGAGCCTGAGTGATAAATACTTGTTTATCTATCTCATTCACTGCTAAGTTCGCTTCATAGTCGACAAGTTTTTCCTTTATTGAATGAATTCAGTTTTACTTGTACTGCAGATAATATTTGGAAATAGGTGGAGGCATCTTTTAGGCGAAAGAGACTTTTGGGAACATGTTGGAGGAATAGACATTTGTCTTACACCGTCGAGTTTTGGTCAAGCAAATACACAGGTTCTTAAATACATTTGTTTCATATTCCAGAAAGCCTTTTAATTGCCAAGAAATAGGAAATTAAGACCCAACAAATCCTCCAAAGAGAGCTTACCTAGTGTTTAGGCATGTTAGGAAATATATTTTTACTTATATTGTTGGCTGGGGATTCTGATTTGTTCTGATATTCACGGTTACTGACTCTTGAGGCCAAGTTGCAGACTGTCCTTCTAATTTTTTTCTAGGAGAATTTAGTCCAAGAAAGGTTATTTGTTAAAAGAAAAAAGAAAAAGACTCTCTAGTTATTAACAACTAAAGATGTAAGTAGTTAAAAAATATTAACTGAGTTTGGCCTGGGTAGAAAGATGGACACGAATGGTATCCCAGACTTCTTCATCATTACTTCCATGCTAACACATTTTATGATTCTGCTCTCTTTTCTTTTCTTTTCTTTTAAGAAACTTAATTTTCATTACCAAAAGGAGAGAACAAAAAAGGGAGAAGTCAAAAGGTTACAAAAAAGACTCCCAGTTGGCAAAGATTTGAGAGACACCATAGTTACAAAAAATTTTTAGAACTAGAGGCCCACAAAGACACAAAGATTCTAACACGCACCCAGAAGATCTCTCTGATTCTTCTCCAAGGAATTTCCAATCGTTTCTTCCGAACCACAGAAGACATGAATTTGAGATTCTCCTTTCAAATCACAAATGGCATTGGTTCAAATAGATTTTTGGTTTTGTTCATCAAATGATGGCAAATAGTCAGCTGGATTACACACAAAAGATTGAAAGATTGGAAAGCTTATTCCAAATTATGCTTTAGAGAGAAAAGTAAAAAGGCGATCCCCCAGCCTTCTGTGCCATTTTCATTTAGGACACATCAATGGGGGCTGAGGTAGGGGTTGCAATTTATTTTCTGAAATCCGTCACTGATTTTCTGGTCAAAACAACCATATGAAGATTTGGAATTCCCTTAGAATTTTTAGAACTCCATTACAGTGATCTTTGGGCTGGGAATCGTTTACTTGTAGAAGGTGCTGGAATAGAGGGTTGCTGGAGAATTTGCCTGATTTTTCCTTCAAAGTCTAGATCTCAAAAGTGGGGTTAAAGTTCTCAATCTGGTTCAGCAAGTCAATCCAGTCTCCAACTTTGCCAAAACTTTGTTATTGCTGTCGCACCTATTATCTCTCCTGGCATAACACCGTTGGAAATCATCCGACATATACTTTTTTTGTGCAGGCTTTTGATAGCTTGCTCCGGAAGTTACAGAGGTACGTTCCTTATGGAGCATCAGTTGCTGATTTGTATGCAGGAGCTGGTGTAATTGGATTATCATTAGCTGCCACAAGGAAATGCAGGCAAGGGCGAGGACAAATATGCATGAATGCCGTGGGGTTCAAAGTTTCATTACATTTACACATGGAAGTTGATAAACCATTGTTATTTCTGCTTTCAGATCTGTTAAGTGCGTTGAAGTTAATAAAGAGTCTAAGCTATCATTTGAGAAGACAGTTGAAYGTCTGCCAGACAGAGTTGATAGCAGCATCAGCTGGCACCATGCAGACACTTCAAAAGTTGGTACTCCAGCCCTAGTAGTGTTTTAATTGCCTACGATATAGCTACATCATCATAAATTCTTTTGTATTTGGGGACATCTCGATTCTTTAGTATGTTCCTGCATATGAAACTTACACCAGCATTAAGAACACTCAAGAACTAGCAACGAGTCCTACTATCTCGCCTTTTGTGTAGCTATAATATTACCAACATTGCTATTTTTTTTTTGTATCTAATAATTGTACAGGAGCCTGTTACTTGGATTCTGGGATCAGATGTAGTTGTTGTCGATCCTCCAAGAAAAGGTTTGGATGCATCACTTGCTGATACATTGCGAGATATATCATCACTAGAGCATAAGGTGAAGTTATCATCTAAAAGGTTGGATTTACTTTTACCCATCTTGGGATATTTTCAAGACAATGCTGTTTAGATGGCCCCTAAGGCTTTTAAATTTTCCTCTCCTGACGCATTATTGTTCATTATAATTTGGATATCATCTCCAGTTCACATTTGATGGAGAAGAAAGATGAAAAGAGGCCATGGGTTTTACGTGCAAGGGAAGAAACAGTCCAAATCGGGAGTACATCTTCAGATCAAAATCAATCACTGCCTCATACCCTTCTTTATATAAGTTGTGGATGGGAAAGCTTCAAGGAGGTAAGTTTCTACAATAAAGGCTGCCATTAAATTCCATCAAACCCAACTGTTTTCCTGCTCTCCGTCCACCTTCTCTAGGAAGGAGAAGGAGAAGGAAAGAAAATTACATGTATTTTTGACGTGTTTAGTGAAAATATGGATTATAGCTAATTTTTCTTTCTCTTACTACTAGGATTGCAAGATGTTACTGTCTAGTAAGGCGTGGCATTTGGAGAAGGCCCATGGTTTTAATTTCTTTCCTGGCACTCAGAGGTAATGATCATATTTCCTTCATGTTGATTCGGCAAAGGTAGACTATAAGCATGGTTAAGCTCTTGCCTCGTGCATCTGTTTTTAAACATCCCAAGACTTGAACATCTACCTCAGTTTATTTTCCCTCTCTTTCTTCTTTCTTTTTACTCTATTAATTATTATTTTTAGACAAGAAACTGAAACTTTCTTGAAGTATAGTGAAATATACAAAAGTTTGCAATGGACTAAACTAAAGCCATTCCAATTTAGAGAGAAAAAGTGGGGTGCTTGGAAGACTCTTCTGTCCATTTCAAGCCAAAGACACCAAAAAGCTACTTGAATAGTCTTGAACCGAAGGATCTTAATTTTCCCTTAAAGGTTGGCTTCAAAGATAGGAGTTCATAATCTGCTTCACTATAGGAGGGAGGGGAAAGACAAATTGAAGTTCTGTAGGATTCTCCACTAAATCTTAGGGCATAAGAACATCCTAGAAAAATATGGTTAACAGTTTGTCCACATGACCTGTGCTGTGCAAAAGATGCACCAGTTCAGCTTAAGGGGAATGTTTGGCATTGTGGGGGCCCCACTAGAGGAAGAGAGACTTTAGTCTTCTCTGACAACCCCAAAATACTCTTATGTTCCTTAATGGAGATGAAGGATTTGACAAACAAGAGTTGCAGTAAATTTTTATGATCTTGAAATTTGAACAAAGCCGGAGGTCGTTTTTCATGTCATTGAGGAGGGTACAAGGAAGAAATCAAATCATATGTTCTTACCCAACAAAGACATCAAACCATAAACATTTTCTTGCTTTTGGGGTACAAGGAACAATTCTGTATGGACAAGCAAAAACATATGCACAAATAGGTGAGGATAAGTTATTCTTCCGCCAATATGTACGTGTATCATGCAAGTACTATATCTAGAAACGAGGAAAAGTATCATGTCTTTAATTTTCTCTCTACTTCAACATTCTACCTCTACTTTTGAAGAATGTGCATGACCTTTTCAACCAACGATCCATTTAACTTACTCGTCCAATTTAAACGACTCAAGACATTGGTTGGTGCTATTCAAACTCTTAATTCTCCTATGCTTTCTGACAGCGGTAAGTTTATTTATATGTTTATACGACACGAATTTGGTTTTGGTTGCAGTATTGAGGTTTTGGCCATTTTCAAGAGGGGTCAAAGAGTTCCCCTCAAGAAAAAGAAAGTGGTGAAGAAGAAAAAGAAACGGCTGTGAGAGCACTGAGACGTAATATTAGGTTGAAGCTTCAAGCATACCCAGTTGGGGTTGGAGTTGGAGTTGGAGTTGGAGTTGTATCAAAATACATGGTTTTGAGAATACATTATAGAGTGAGAAATCAGAGTTGTAGAAAAGCAGAGGAGAGCCTTTTTTTTTTTTTTTCCTCTCTTTACAATGTTTCTCTGGTGTATAATGACTCTTATGCCATCTTCTGGAAAAGGGGCATTTAATTTGAAGCTCAATGATGAATCCTCCTAAACTTTTGGTATTTGTAAAGCCATGAATTCAATACAACCCCCATTTGGCTGAAGATAGCTAGAATGGCCTTCCTTGGAGGCTCTCTTCCTCCTCCAATTCAGCTCTTAGGAGTCTGGACTAGTGTACACATTACAACTGCTGGTAACTCTTAACGATTTCTTTGTCTTCAATGCCTTTAAATTTTTAGGAACGAGTCATTTCAACAGTCTTTGATGCTTACAGGTACCCAAAAATGAATGTTTGTCGTCCCAACTATTTTTATAAGTTCCGATCTTGATAAGGAAAATGAATATAATAAAGTTTTCGTGTTGCTCATTCCTAGGTGTAGTGCTTCTTCCCTCTACTATCTATTTTACTAGTGGAGTAGAGTTTACTTAATCCATAGGTTACACCTTTCGCTCAATACTAGAATCGACAATTAAAGCATATGATGTTACACTTCGGGATACACGAGGGAGGAAATATTTTTATTCAAAAATGCACCTCCAAAATAAATAGATTTATTTGACTTATTATTTCCTTGAACCATAGAAGTTGAAATATGAAGAAATAGGTATGCTTAGAAACTTTGTTCTGTGGATAAAGGGATCTACTTGATCATAAAAAGTTGAAATATGAAGAAAGAGGTATGCATAGAATACTTTATTCTATGGATAACGGATCTACTTGATCAATTAATTAGGTCTATGGTTGATACAATAAAAACCAGTTACTTTTGTCATGATATATGATCAATGAAGAAATCGGGTGGATCTTGAGTAGAATGTAGCATCAAATTATAGAGACAGCTTTTCTTTCTTAAGAAGAAACGTCTTCTTCAAGGGTTAAATAAATTTATAGATGAAACCGATATAGTTATCTTTTAGAAAATTGTAACGATTCATGGTTTGAGAATTTGATATTGCTTTCGAACTGCGAGTTGGAGCTATGGATTATGTAACTCATAAGCTTCAAAAATCAAAACTTTTTACTGTCTGATTCTAATATAACAGTAGAATCCCAAGTTCATCCAGAGATTAACTTTTTCTTGGAGATGATCTTTATGTGGAGTTGGCCTAAATTGGTATGTAAAAGGATCATTTCTACTCATTCAAAAGGAACGTTGCAAAAACTTCCCAATTCAAGAAGGTATTACATGAAAACAACTTACATTACAGGTTATCAACAGCTTCCCAAAATCAAAAGATGACCACAAAAAACACTAAACATTTTGATGAGACTGAACTAATGGATTAGGTTAATAAGGAATTGTCTTCTTCAGGTAAATCCCAGTTGTCATCATCAGCTTCCTGCTTTGTTGCAGGCACATCCTGCTTGTTCTGTGGTGTAAATCTTGGCTGTGGGCGCCTGTGTTCATCATCCAAATCATAAAATCTCAGTTGAATAGAATCCTATAATGATAATCGCTGTCAAAATCAAGACGGCAGAAATGAAAGAAGGATCGATTCGTTCCTTTACTAAAGGAACGTAGTCAACTCCATTTGTTAGAACAGTTTCCATCGAGTCTATGCACCTATCCTTTTATATGCGTTTATCTTTGGCTAACTCCATAACACCCTATGAGCGGTTTTTAGCTCAGAGGCTGCTGCGTCGTATTGACGATGTATTGAAGACTAAGCGAGCCGGTCTAGAACAGAACACATGCCCTCCCTCACATTTATCTTTATCCATCATTCCAGTCTTACAACATGACTATGAGTTTTGGTTTTCGCATTAGTAATCAAGAGGATTTCTCATTCAGAGGTTACTTCTTTATCTCTCATTCTACCTAGAACAAAACCTAAATCCTCTATCATCCCATCATTCTCCTAGTAATCAAACTCAACACCCAAAAGAACAAGAACAGTTCCAAGCAAGAGAATCTCACAAGAAACCGAAGCACCAAGAAACGATCGCAGAGATTTTAGAAGCAAGAACACACAAATCTCAAAAGAAACCAGAAGGAAGAAATTCCAGAACCAAAAGAACAGACCTCCGGCGGTTGCGCTTGGCAGCCTCGCGAGACTTGCGCTTCCTGACATCCTGCGTGTTCTCAAAGAATCGCCGTCTCTTACACTCCTGAATGACGCCGGCCCTCATGACCTCTCGCCGGAATCTGTTGAGAAGCCTCTCCTCCGGCTCGTTATCATCCACGACCACCTGCACATTGTAGGCTGATCTGAAGAAGAGAGTGTTGGCGAAGGCGAGGGAGGGGCAGATGAGGGAGGCCAATTCGGCGGACAAGGGCTCGGAGTGGCTCGGACCCTGTTCATGTTGGGGCTTCAGGGTAAGCGATCCATCTCTGGATTTGAGGGGCTGAATCTGAGCCGTCGCCGGAGGAGGAGAGAAAGCGAGGGGCGGCGGGGATTTGGGCGGCGGGGGTTTGGTGGGGAAGAGGAAGGAGAAGAAATTGGAGAGGGAAGAAGCCATGGATGCGCTGTGGTTGGCTCTGGTTCTGGAAATCAGTTCTCTCTTATCTGCTCAGTGTTTTGTTTTTTGGACTTTTTTCATGGAAATTTTGCAAAGAAGTCCAAACTTTTTTTTTCCTTTTTTGCAAAGAAGGCCTCTTTTTTCCATGTTTATGACATCATCTCCTCTTTTCCTTACTCGTAGTGTGGATAAGTTTCCAATCCCCAATAGTTTGTTTGCTGTATATATATAATATTTAGGTTATTTCTCGTGAGAACAAATAAGAGAGACATGAAAAAATAGAAAAATATTTTAAGAAAATAAAGAGTGTGGTCGATTTTTCAATGGTAGTCAATGTAGAGAGATAGGTTTTCACTAGTCATGATTTAAATATTTTTTTACATAAAACTCCCTTTCAAATCGTCATGTGAAGATGGACGTTGATAAAGGTTATTTATAATCGCTCTTTTTGGTGGAGAAGAATAGTGTGGGAAGGAAGTGGAAAAAAGAGGGGAAAATTTTTTTAAATTAATTTGGTGTACATACTAGTAGTAGAGATTGAAAAAATGTTTAGGAAATTTAGTGGAGAATATCATGAGTTGATAGGGGATCGACATATAAGTAATGAAGTGAGAGTTCAGAAATTTCGTGGATTTTTAAAAAGAAGGCTTAGGAATACCTTTTTTCTTTTTTCAAAATTCTCGAAGCAAAGCAAAAAGAAAAAAAACCAGCATGTCCTTTTCTGCTTGATCAGTAACTCATGAGCAAAGTCGACACTCATTTTTAACTTCCTATCAAAAGTACTCAAAATCGATTTCAAAAGAAAAAATTTTGTGGGGCTAATAGAGTATTTATTTAGTGATACAATGTTAAGATATTTAGGTTTGAAACTGTCTCCCTTCTATTCTTCTAAATTTCAAGTCACGTTCTTGAACTTTACAAAATGTTTGACATATAATATTTGCCTTTAACATAGTTGAGAAATGTTGGTGTATCATAGTTATTAGATAGATATCAGTTGCCAGTATGAGCGTCGTTCAACAACGACATCTACACTATTTTCGTCATTGTACTTCCAAAAGTATTCATTTTGGTTCCTATGCTTTCAACTTTGTTCATTTTAAGATTGTGATAAAAAGAAATAAAATCAAAATAGTCACTTTTTAACTCATGGCCTTTTATCAGAAACATGTGTCAGTTACCGTTGAGTTATGTTCATGTTAGCAATTGAATATATTCATTATTTAATTGTTCTATGTGCGTCACATCAAATTAAACAACATTTATATACAACAAATAAACCATGTTAACATTTTGTGAAAGTATTAACAACAAAGAATTAAATAGAAGAAATTTTTAAAGTTCAAGGATTTGGGATGTAGTTGAAGTTAGAAATTTTTTAAATTTCAAATATTAAATATTTACCATATTTAAAATGTAGGAGTAAATTGATAATTTTTAACCCAATAAAAGATTTTTAAAATTGGGCTGTCAAACTGTGGTTGGAATAAATATTTGAAAAGATTTCATAATCTTTTTTTTTTTTTGGGAGAATGAATGCTTGTATTTTGTACTAAAAAAATAATAATAAAAGAATGTTTGTATTTGTCAATGTAACTTTTGTATGAATAAATGAACAATCCTCATATATATATATATATATATATATAAAATAAAGATATGAATTTTAGATCAAATATGGATTTTAGATCTACCATGATTAAGACTTTATATTAAAATATATATTCCCAAAAAAACAAATAAGGAAAAGTAAAACAATATAACTTAGGGATTAATAATTAATATTATCATCTCAATTAAGATTAAACCATAGTTTATGATTATCTCAAAACCACTTGTCGATTTCTCCATAGTTCAAGTGTGGCAATTCCGCTTGTACCATTTCTTATACTTCTTAAAAGCCCAAA